TCTTCAAGATCCCTGACTGTCATCGAGACCCTGACTGTCTTCAAGACCTTTATTAGTCTTTACGGTCCCTAATTATCTTCAAGAGGGATCTTCATAAGTCCCATAAGCCGTTTCCTGCTGATCACGGCTGAGGTGCTTATGTCGGCCTGCATGCAGCTAACACCAATATCCTCACTGATCAGGATGTCAACATGGTGGCTTGGTCTGGAACAAGACTACGGGGACGATGATGCTGAAGCCATCTTCAGGTAAATTGGTAGTTGGGGAGCTGTTTCATGGACATAGTAAACAAAAAAAATTATGTTTATTTAGGAGAGAGAGCTGAGGCTTGGATGCCTATGAGAGTGTGGTCGTGTGAATGGGGGTTGGAAGAGGCTTCTGGGATAGGAAGTGGAAGAGAAATGTTGGATAAAGAACGGACAAGTTATGAAGGACAAGTTAGGTGGAACGTAGAGTGGACAAGTCATGCAGGATAGAGGACGAGGCATGTGAGGGATCATGTTATGTGAGGGTGTAAAACAATATTTAACTCAATTCATGAGTAATCTATTTCGTGAGTAATCATTACGGGTTAAGAAAAGTTCGTTCCAGCCTTTCACAGTTGCTAGACCATTACATGGTTGTGGATGCATTCGAAGACAAACAATGTATATGTAGAATACACAGGCTTTGCAAAAAAGCCTTTGACAAGGGCAGCTATGGGGTAATTGCACACGGATGAGTGCACAAGAAATAACTGAGAAGGTGGGTAGATACATATTTAACTTCCTAACAAGCAGAACCTAGAGAGTGATAGTAAACAAAGCGAAATCAGGGACTTCTACAGTGAAAAATTCTGTTCCTCAAGGCACGGTACTCGCCCCACTAATCTTTCTTATTCTTAGATTGACAGGGACATATATCATAGCAGACTATACTAGAATTTTGTATGAAAGTGACATCCATGGAAGACACAGCCTCCAGGCTGATATAAACTAAGTCTTCCCGTGGGCCACTAGCAACAATGTGATATTCAATGAGGATAAATTCAAATATAAGAGACCTGAGAATGATAATGTCAGATCTCACGTTCAAGGAATACGGTGTCGTTCCCGCAAGTGAAAAAAAAATGCTAGGTTGGCTAACTAGAACCTTAAAAACTAAAGATACCAAATTAAAAATGATAATCTTCAGGTCACTCGTTCTCTCTAGGGTGGAGTATTGTTGTGTACTAACGGCCACCTTCAAGACAGGCGAAACTGCTGAGCTGAAAAAAATATAAAGAGAATCTTCACAATTCGTATAAACTCAATCAAGTACCTAAATTACTGGGAGCACTTGACGATCGGCCCCAAAAATGCACACCGAAATTACCACTTATGAACACTAGAGGCTTAGCAGACGGTGCAGGATATATCCAATGAAAAGCAGAGGAGCGAAGAGAACAGTGAGAGAGAACTCAATAAGTGTTAAGAGATCTCGATTCTTCAACACCCTACCTTAATGCATAAGAAGGATCACAAACCCCTGGCTGTCTTCAAGAAGGAACTCGAGATTCCCCTTAACAGTCCCTGTTCTACCGGGTTATGGTGTATATGTTGGGCTGCAGGCAGAAGGCACTAACAACTTTATCGATCAGGCCAGCAACCAGGAGGCCTGGTCTGGTCTGGCTGTGACCTCCGGAAGCGAGTCCAGGTAAACTCGAGGTAACACTCAAAGATACTATTTTCTAAGCAATTATATAAATATATTGATGTCTATGTATTGAAATAGTATACATTTTTAATTTGTTAGAAACATGGCCTCTTTATAGGATTTACAGTATCTTAATATTAATAAAAATCTTATTTAGCCATATCAATAATCTGTGGCTGAATATTAATATATAGCTGGTGACAAATACTACGACAACTACTGATACTACTACTACTAATACTACTACTACTACTACTTGCTTCTTCTCTACTCATCTGAGTTTATATACATAATGGTGGTAGTGATGATGGTAGTGGTGGTGACGATGGTAGCAGGGGAGATGGTGATAGTTGTGGTGATAGCAGTGGTGATAGTGGTGATAGTAGTGGTGATGGTAGTGGTGATAATGGTAGTGATGGTGACGATGGTAGCAGGGGAGGTGGTGGCAGTGGTGGTGATAGTAGTGGTGATGATAGTAGTGGTGATGATAATAGTGGTGATAGTAGTGGTGATGATGGTAGTGGTGGTGATGGTAGTGGTGGTGATGGTCGTGGTAGTGGTGGTGATGATGGTAGTTGTGCTGGAGACAATGATTGCGGTGATTATGATAGCAGTAATGATGATAGCTATGGTGGTGATGACGGTAGTCTACGTGGAGTCTACCTGGAGGGTATTCCGGGGATTAACGCCCCCGCGGCTCGGTCCATGATCAGGGCCTGATCAACAAGGCTGTTACTGCTGGCCGCACGTAGTCCAACGTACGAACCACAGCCTTGCTGATCCGGCACTGCCTTTAGGTATCTGTCCAGCTCCCTCTTGAAGACAACCAGGGGTCTATTAGTAATTCCCCTTATATCTGGGGGGAGGCTGTTGAACAGCTTGGGCCCCCAGACAGTAATTGTGTTTTCTCTTAGTGTACCAGTGACGCCCTTACTTTTCACTGGGGGTATGTTGCATCGCCTGCCAAGTCTTTTGCTTTCGTAAAGAGTGATTTCTTTGTGTTGATTATGGACCAGTCCCTCCAGGATCTTCCAGGTGTAGATTATGATGCATCTCTCGCCTGCGCACCAGTGAGCACAAGTCAAGTGCTTCCAGGCGTTCCCAGTAGTTAAGGTGTTTGATGGAACTTACATGTGCAGTAATGGTTCTCTCTGTACATTCTCTAGATCTGCAATTTCACCTGGGCATCTCTTGTCTTGAATGTTCTCATTATCCATCCTATCAGTTTCCTCGCAGATGTGATAGTGGCATTGTTGTGGTCCTTGAAGGTGAGATCTTCGGACATTACCACACCCAGGTGTAATTACTTTCGCTTATTGTGTGATTGAAGTTTGTAGTACTGTCATAGTATTATTCCTCTAGTATTCATAACGGATAGTGGAATGTCTATGGAAGCACTATGTTCTTGTATGCTCTGGTTGGTATACTGTCAGGATTGGTGAGGAGACATATCATGTAGATCTAATGTGAAAGATATGGTGGTGAGGTAGTAGGGCCCAATGATCGGTAACAGACAGATCAGCCTACAAAGTACTGACTGGGCAGTGTCACTTCAAAATGCGACCAATTATTATATATTAGTTAGCCCATTGAGATACATCTATTAGTATTATTAAAAAGCGGACCTGGAAGTTGCCAGTTGGTCCAAGGAACGACCCCTTTCTAAACAGAGTCTCTCCTGCAGAGCAAAGGGTGTTAAGGTTGAATATGAACCCTGAGTTGATCTTCAAGAGAGAGCTAGACAATATCGCTAGGAGACAAGTCGAAGTGTCCAGGTATGCCGGGTAGTGGATGAACGTGGATGTGCGATAAGGGGCCAGCAGTAACAGCTAGTTGTATAGTGCCCTGGGATCCTGCGGAAGGGCAACATGTGTTCGTGGCCGGGCGCGGGGCAGTTGAGCATCGTACTCTCCTAGGAATCCCACAGTCACAGTCCTTCACATTACTTTTCCGCTCTATTGTGTGATTGAGTTTGTAGTATACTCAGTCCTAGTTATTATTTCCTCCAGTTTTCCATAACGGAGTAGTTGGAATTTGTCTTCATTGAACATCATATTGTTCTCTGTTGCCCATTGGAAAACTTGGTTTATATCTTCATGAAGATTTGCCGTGTCCTTAATGGATTACACACTCATGTAGATCCTAGAATCGTCTGCAAAGGATAGTGGTGGTGATGGTAGTAGGGGTGATGATGGTAACAGTGACAGATAGAGCCACAAAGTCACGTGACGTGGGAGTGATTCACTTCGGAAATAGAGAAAAATTTATTATTATTATTATTATTATTATTATTATTATTATTATTATTATTATTATTTTCACAAAGCGCTGAACCCGGAGAGGTTGCCATGTTTGGTCCAAGGAAGGGGCGGACAGCTCCATTTCCTAGAATCAAGAGTCTCTTCCTGACAAGAATGCAAAGGGTGTTAAGAGTACTGAATGATAGGAGACAAGATTATTATTATAATCAAAAAGAAGCGCTAAGCCACAAGGGCTATACAGCAATAGGAGACAAGAGGCTGGAGGGAGGTGTCAGGTGATGCTGGGGAGGGAGGGAGGGAGGGATGTTAGGGTGGGAGTAAGGGAGGGAAAGAGGAGGGACGGAGGGAAGTAGTGTTAGTAGGTGGGTGGGAGGGAGTGTGGGAAGGAGCAACAGTGTGTGTGTTGGGGGGGAGGGAGGTCAGTTGAGCATCGTACTTCTCCTGTCGCCACTTCATCCCCCAACAGACACAGCATCTCTGCGCATTAAAATCTATTTTATCTTCCCAGCAGCATTTGTCTGCCAGCCTCGTCTCCCCAGCCACTCTCCTCGCCACCTGTGAGCCTCTCATCAGCCTACTTACCTACGCTGAATTAAATGTTTAAAAATGAAGCAATTACTATCGGGAGTATCGCGGCTTCAGTACACGATCGAGTTTCACTCCCCCACACCCACCCACTGCTTGCTTAATCTCAAAATGCTTCGCCTCCTCTAAATCTCACCCCCGTGGGGGTAAAAAATAAGGGGAGTGAGCGATATTTTGTGAGGAGTGAGCGATGAGATGCGAGGCGGCCATGTGTCAGATCATTAGTGTCGTTCTTGTGATTGGTGACTCTCGCTTTACCCATCATCCTACCATTCATCATCTTAAGTGACGACATAACATCCCCATCCACCAATCAAGGCTCGCTTTACAACTCTCCACGAGCGGAGGACCAATCAGCGCGTGTCGACGGGACCAACGTGTGAAATCTAACGGGACATTTTCCGCCAATCAGGAGGCGCGTTACAAGCCGCGGTTCGGTGACGTCACGTAGACCCGGGTACGAGTGAGCAGAAATCAAGAATATTCATTCAGTTAGTAGCGCTCAGTGGCAGTGGACGTAGGTGGTGCTATGCGCGTCAGCGGCAGCATCTGTTGACCTGATTAGTGAACCTCGCTGGGACATAGTGTTATTAATTACAAGACAATGTTGACTTCGAGTGGGAGCCAGTATCTTAGACCCGAGTATCTCAACCCAATACAGGGACACTCTATTGAGGTGAGTGTTCCTCTTGGAATATTAAATGTGCTTTTGGCACTCTGTACACACGCAGCACAGTGGAGGAAGACTTTGTGTTCTTCAGTGTTTCTCTTCAGATTATCTCGTGTTCTGATCATCTTAAGGTGTTGTTCTCAGCGTCAAGACAACTCCGGGAAATAAAATCTGAAGTGACACTTGTTCACATTAGTGATCAAACTTTTCTAAAAGTTTGTATTTGACGAAGTGAACCTTTTTAAGTTTATACGCATAATTGTTAAAGTTTCTCTCGTTGATGAACTGATATATTGATTCAGTGATAAGCCCTGTGTGAATATGTATGTGGTGGTGTTTGTGGCCTGTGTTGTGTACCTAGCACCATGGGAACAGCACTACAGTATGCCTACTGGCCTATGCTGGGAATGTCATGCTCATACCAACTCTCTCTCTCGCTCTTTTACCTTTCTAATAATTTTTTAAAACTATCCAAAGTTCAAGGTTCAATAAATCCGCTTTGGAATGTCTTCCTTTCGTTCACAACTCGACTGATCAAACAAGTTTCTTCTTATATCTTTTCTAAACCAGAACTTATTAAATTTAAATCACATGGTGCTAGTTGTGTCTTGGATAGAGTTCTTTTAACACCTTGTGTACATTTTCTCTATATATTCCTAGTTTTTCTTTATGGTCTTCAATCCAGCTGTCCATAATTCTACGTCTTTGTAGACTGCGCAAGTTCAGTGGTCATAAACTATGATCGTGGGAGAGATTTGTGTGTTGGAAGCGTGGTGGTGTTGATACCATCGCGGTATTGTTTTTTCCTGGTGTGTTGATGGTGGCGTATTGGTATACCAGTAATTTTTACAGCAAATTGGTGGTGTGATGACAGAGTGGTGATGGTGTTTTGATGGCGTGGTTGTGGTGGTGGAACTTGTTTGTGTATTAGTGGTGGTGTGTTGATAAACAAACAAGTTTTTCATGAAAATCTTCAAACATTTTACACACAATAGCACTAATTTGCATAATGAGTCTGATGGCACACACATTTTGCAGGTATACAACCATGTGTGTGTATATACATTGTGCAGCGTTATAGATATATCAAAATATGTTAGTGTTTGTACTTCCATTGCGTTGCTGTATTTGTTTTTCCATTGGGATGGTAGTGTTGTGATGGTGTGTTGGTGTGTTGATTGTAATAGTATGTTGTTGTGATAGTGTGTTGGTAATGTGTTGATTGTGGTGTGTTGGTGATGTGTTGATTGTGGTGTGTTGGTGACGTGTTGATTGTGGTGCGTTAGTGGTGATGGTGGATGTTATATGTTAGTGATGGTGTGTTTGGATAGTGGTGGTAGTTTGTGGGTTGATTGTGGGGGATGGTGTGTCGGTGGGTGATGTAATGAAGATGTGTTGGTGGATGGTGGCGACTATATGCAAGGTGTTAGGCAAAGAGACACATGTGCAACTAATGTGACATATTACTGTGACAATGTTTCGCTGTCCAGGAGCTTCATCCAGTCGTTACAACTTGACAAAGCTCCTGGAGAGCGAAACGTTGCTTGTGTCCTTTTACCTAACATATTGTCGGTAATTATACCTACATTAATACTATATATGTGAGGTGATGAAGTGGGACGTCCTCTGCTGACAGTATCTTGTTTGGAAATGTTTCCATTTAGCACTCAGGATTTTTAAGCCCAAGTTGCTGGCTTAGTTTATTCAACAAGAGTTGCTTTGATCAATGCGTTTGTAGTTATTGGTTCTAGCCTTCCAGAAACTACTTTGAACATTATAATTTAAAAATATTATATAGATGTTGAATTTAGGCTCGTCCAAAATAAGCTGACAGAAGCTAAGTTACACTTTTTAATGTTATGGAAATTTTAAAGATATGTAATTAGTTTTAGGGAAAATAAAAATTTACATATGTCAATTTACATAACTATATCTGCACATTATTTTTTATTTTTTTTATAATATATATATATATATATATATATATATATATATATATATATAATATATATATATATATATATTATATATATATATATATATATTGTGTGTTGTGTGTGTGTTGTGCATGTGTTTGTTTTACCTGTTAAAGCCACTTGGCGATAGGCACTTGGCCTGTTGTTGGTTCGTGGTGTGTGTGTAATGTTTAGGAACATAAAGATATAGGTATATTGTTAGAAGTCCTTCCGGTGGTATGAACAGGTGTTGGGTGGGAGGGAGGTAGTTGATGTGTGTGTGTGTGTGTGTGTGTGTGTGTGTGTGTGTGTGTGCGTGCGCGCGCGCATTAGATACCATCTGTTAAAGGTTATTGTCAATAGGCACTTGACCTGTTGTCATGTGTTTGTGTATATATAGTACAAAATGATAAATTGCAACCACTTGTTGAGGCACTATTGTCCTGTCATCTGCCACACAAGTATGAAATGGAAGCCTTTTAAATGTTTTGCACTCTGCAGGATTCTACTTTTTTTTTCTATTGCGCCTGATAAACCATGTTAACTACTGCATACATTAGGTAATTCCCAATCATTGAATGATTTCCTTTCCTACTTCATGGCAGAATTGGATAGAAATCTTACCCTGTAACCCAGACATGTAGGAGAAGGCGACTAATGTGCTGGGAGTGAAGAATATTACCTTCTCCTAGCTACAGCTACGAGAATGGAGGAAAATGGGGATTTGAGGTTAGGATTTGTAAAAATGAGTTGATATTGTAATTGATCTAGGTAAAAAAAAATGAAAATTAGACACATGTGCAACATTTGGGTATCTTTATTGTACAGTAAAGACACCCAGATGTGCGTATGTCTAATTTTCATTTTGTCGATATTGTATACCATTCATGTACAAAAAAAAGTGTTAATGATCTGAATGTTATGAAAGACACTTGGATATCTTTGCATTAACTGAAGAGATATTTGGGGTCCCAGAGACACAATGAGGAGTAAATGAGGTCTAACACCAGGAGGCGTGAAGACTGCAACAGGAGTAAGAGCCCATGCTAGGCAGATCAATCCAAGAAGACTAAGACACATGTGCAACAGTTGGGTACCTTTATTGATGAAACGTTTCGCCTACACAGTAGGCTTCTTCAGTCAAATATAAAAGAGCAGTAGTAATGAAATAAAGACGTAGTTAATCCACCAACCTTGGAGAAAAAGTATTTGAGGTGGTCAGTCCCTCAGCCTGGAGTCGAGTTCAGCTCCATGGTCTGGAAGGTTCCAGACCATAGACGTGTTGCCAAACTAAAGCTTTCCTATATCATTTTTTTTTTTTATCCCAAGTTTGCCCTAGCCGGTCTCCGAGAGTAGTAAGACTCTAGAAACTCATCAAAGGTATATCAAAGTTAAATTTGCATGTAGGAGAACGAGAGCTAAAAAAAAAAAATAGACAATAAAATGAAACGCATAAAAGAAGTATAGTAAACATATATTCACACAGACTTAACTGTGATTTACCTGTGACATCTGTCGAAAGGTCTCCTGCTCCACAAATGCTTCTTTGCTGGCAATACAATGAAAGCAATGGAATGTGAACCTCGTGAGAGCCGAAGCAGGTGTGTCATAAGACACAATCCAACCAGGAAAGATCAGAGAAGGCAGCTAGAGGCCTCAGCCAGGACCCACCAAAGCACGGCCCTAAAGCCCAGATATTAAGGAAAGTATTTGAAGTAAAAATAAAAGCCACAGACCTCGTAGTAATATACAACACGTGTATCATATCATTAATCATCATAGGGCTGCCATGTGTGTTTTCATTTTGAATAAAGGATCAAAAGACAATCTCGTTGTGACTCCCATTTCGTTCTGGGGAGTTTCCATCATTCGTGTGTGACTACTGAAGCTCACTTGTCCACCACACTTGACTTGTAATCGCTTTATCAGTTACATATTCTAGACGATACGAGAATTTACTTTTAAAACTTTCACATTTAATCTGCTCATTGTCTCAATTGAATGTCTAGATACATCTACTGTGAAGACAGCTGGAAAGATCACGTTTTGGGGCATTATGGCAATAACGAGGAGACAAGACATGCATATATAGAACAAATAAGACCATATGAGCTATGATTCATCGAATAAAATACATGCGATGATATCACATGATAAGGAGACTGGTAAAATGAGGGTAGGCTAAACTGAAAACGGGATGCAAGTACACTGCTGTTAACAGATTGCCTGCTTGTCTGCGGTGTACTGTATTAAACCATTTGTAAATACACCAACTTGTCACAGCACTGAGTAAGTCACAAAGTAAAATGATGGCTAGAAGCCAGAAACCCGACAATTACGGGTGACAACATAGCTCATAAATGATTATACAACCATGGGGACAAAGACAGAAATACCTGCTCCCCACCTGGCAGACAGATGATCTAATGTATAGTTGTTCTTAACCATCACAACGAAAGAAGAGCCTATGTATGTGCGGGTAACAGTGATCATTTTTAGGTAGGCAAATGTCATATTGTTAGTGCATTCACGAGCATTTGTGAATTTGCCAGGTTTAAGACTATGGGCAATGGCCTCAGTAATGAACTGAGCTTGTAGAAGCGTGGGCTCTTAATATATAAGGCTAGGTTATCATATTTTAAAGTCGTCGACTCTTTAAGATATTTCTTTCCACCATTGACGAACTAGAAACTATAATTTGGGTATCAGGCCAATTAAATATGGCATTTTCTTCCTGCACTGTCAGAATCAAATACTGGTGTTGTGTTGACATGAATTATAGGGGTACCTCTTTTCTCAACGTAAAGCAAATTGCAACTGCTGAATGACGCCTTGTGTACCATCCCCACTGAGTTGGCTGGCTATTTTTTATTAGTTCACTCCCTCTACCCCTGAATTCTTAACCACATTTATGTTAAATCTTCTAAGGGCATTAATCTAAAACACACAAGTCTCATTATATGGGAGTGCTGTCAAATTCTTCCTTCGTGGGGTTATCCTAGGTTCTGGCCTATAATGGATGTATATAGCTGCTATCAAGACCTTTTCTAC